ACCAGCGTGTGAGCAAGGTTGTTCATCTCCATACAATATTTTGGACTTACCAAAATATACACAACTACTGACAAAAGCATGAAGTTGTCATAGATCTGAGGTTTTAAAACACCCCTCAGCACAACCGGACCAGTGTATAACAAGAATTGGCGGAATTCTGTGGCTTTCCACCTACATCGTTCAGCCAGTGCCCGTGGCCTTCGAGCAAACTCACTGGGAATGTAATTTTTCAGAGCAAGAAGTCTATCCGTAACCATGGAAGCTAGACTAGATGAAATGCGACAGCGCAAAGGACCAGTGGTGCTGATCCACAAATCTAAGAGACGCCTCATTACACCCAGACAAACCAGGTGCATATAATCGTATGGGAAACAAGCCACCATGTCAATGCCAACATCTGCAAGAGGTGAGTGATGGATGAGATGTTCCTCATCTATTGCTTGCCTAAAACTGTCATCCATTCTGCGCCTTGCATTGACCTCAGGAAATGTCATTCGATTAGATTTGCGGACACCCGTTTGGTGACACTTGTCACACCCATGGTATCCAGTGTGTGACTTCACACCTCTTATGAAGGCTCAGGCTGGGGTATCGCACACAACAGAAACAACATTCACAAAGAAGGTTTTCTGCTTCAACAGAAATCCACTTTTCAACATTTTCAACTCTTGAACCAGATTATGAAGATACTCGGCCAACGAATTTGGCTTAGAAGTACCACAAAACAGTCCGATCAACATTGGTTTCTTGGTGTATCTTTGCAACATACCAAGAATAGGCCAAAACTGTGTACTAGTACTCTTGCAAAGCGGCAGACCATCAAAATTCAACTGCAGTTTAAAAGCATGTCCGTCTGGCACTGTAGACCACACTTTATCTAGAATTTTCCTGATAGAATTCAGAATTCCACAATAGTGGAACACACCACCAGCTACACTGTTAATGTTGTAGCAAGTTTTTGTTTTCAGCAGTGTTCGTCCATCCTTTGGCAGAGAGGGATGGCAGATTTTGAGAATGCTGAGAAGCGCTGACAGAGCTATTAGAGAAATACCAAATTCAACTGCCCAATCTGCCAAAGAGCTCCGCAAATCACCATCACTATGACTGCACTGTTCTCCAAGATCAGGCAGATCCTCAACAGAAGCTACAGTCTCTTCATATACTTCCTTTTCCTCAACATGAAGACCTGATCACTTTCTTCATCACTAAATAGCATCTCAGATTCTTCTGAATCATCAACACAATCACCTAACTCTAAATTAGCATCCACCATCCCTCCCCTATCCAGCTCATTTTCAATCAGTTTACTGACTGTCTTTAATGCCCTTCTTCGTGCATTGCCCCTATCATTGTACATCCAAGCCTTTTCCATACCGTGACTTTCCTCAAACTTTTGTCCTTCAACCTGAAACAGACAAAGAAGAATATACCAAATTACAATTTTTTTTATGTTATATATTTATTTAGCTTAAAATGAGAATGAAATATCAATGATATATATATATATATAGATATATAGATATATAGATATAGATTACATTAGGGTGTTCGATTATTGCAAAAGTCATAATCACAATTAATCTGGTAAATATTGAGATCACAATTATTTAAAACAATTACTGCCTTCGGGAACATCCTGCATTTATTGAACTTTTAAAACTGAATTCTTTTTTCTTTTTTTAAAAAATAATAATACATTAAGCCAAAATCCCAAATAGCCCAAATAAGAAATAGTAATCCAATAACGTTAGTATTAAAAGACAGCAAGCAGCGTTTCCCCAGGTTGAGGATGGGCCATTGAGGGGGATTCATGTCTGTGTGTATTAACATTAGTCAACCTTACACACGCAGCAGAGCAGGTGACATATGAACTACTCGAGCTGAACTAGTTATTTCAAAATTATTTCAAGATTAGTGACACTGCATTGATATAGATAATCTTGTAATACGTAAAATATTTTTTCTGCGTGTTGCACGGCCATGGCGTGATGGTTGCACGCGCATCTCCAAATGCCGCTAAATTCAAAAATCCTGCCCTTGAAAGAATACCATTCTCTAATGTTATCTAAATTTAATTGCAAAATAGGTTAACCTAAAATAGCATTCTTTTCACCAGCTTACTCCGAAATAGCATCTTTTTAATAGCCTATGACAATTAGCTAGCTAGCTAACGTTAGCTTATACCTAGCCTAGCCCCATCCTTACAGTAACATTCAAGCTAGACTCCCGACCTCTCCCGAATGTCAGCTTTGTGAGCTAACAGCAAATGTAATGACTAAAACAGTAACGTTTTCATGAACATGAAATTATTGTTTCTCACTCACCACTTCTTTGCTGGCTTGTAGCCACCGTGCTCTGGGCAACTTGCTGTTCCCCAGACTAGTCCATGACCGTGAGTGCAGTGAGTCAGCACTCTCTCTTTTTTCTCAGTAGCCTCGACCGTTGGCGCTCGAGGCTACTGAGAAAAAAGAGTCGCTGTCCACTGGTGCAGCCTACACTGAGTGGATACGTTGATAAATTCAATTGATTGATATCAGAACGTTACAGCCTACTATTTCGAGGGCCTTGTTTCAGAATTAAAATTCTCATTAATTTTTTAAAATTTGTTTGTTTACAAATACAAGTCATGGAAGTATGCTTTTAAATAATTATTAGCACCTTACTCAAAAATCTGAAAATAAACTGTGGGACAAGACACATACATCTGTGGCCCACATTTCTAATTTGACATCTGGGCCAAATACAACGCTCAACAACTGGCCCATATCTTGTTTGCCGCCTTAAAGGCGGTGCCATTGTCTGCCACACCTGGGCCATGTTCGGTTCATATGCCTTATGCCAGTGCCGACTCAGTGCCAGCAGTGCCAGCTTTAAGCCAAATCTGGGCCAAATGTCACTGCTATGTGGGTTACTACCCCACCAGAGCACTGTACTCCCAGAATGCAGGGTTACTTGTGGTTCCTAGAGTCTCCAAAAGTAGACTAGGAACCAGAGCATTCAGCTATCAAGCCCCTCTCCTGTGGAACCAGGTTCCAGTTTGGGTTCAGGAGGCAGACACCATCTCCACATTTAAGAGTAGGCTTAAGACTATCCTCTTTGATAAAGCTTATAGTTAGGGCTGGCTCAGGTGAGTCCTGAACCATCCCTTAGTTATGCTGCTATAGGCCTAGACTGCTGGGGGATTTCCTATGATGCACTGAGCCCCTCTCTCGTCTACTTTCTCTCCCTCTGTATGCAACCTCATCCCATTATTGCATGTTACTAACACAACTTCTCCCCTTTCCAGTAGTCTTGTGCTTTCTCGTCCCTCTCCTATCACTTCCTGCAGGTGTTTCTGGCTCTGGAGCTGTGAAGTCTGGATCTGTGGCTGCGGGTCACCTGCTGCCCCCATGTAACATTACGATTATTATCATTAACACTACTATAAATATCTATACCATTTTTCATTTAGTCATTTAGTCTATGGCAACATCACCTTTACTGTCTGTACCTCTGTGTGTATATTGTGTAGGCTGCCTCCTTCCTTTCTCTCTGTTCCTCTCCTGCCCTCTTTCTCTCTGTTCCTCTCTTGCCCTCTTTCTCTCTCTCTCTCACCCCCAACCGGTCGAGGCAGATGGCCGCCCACCCTGAACCATGGTTCTGCTCGAGGTTTCTGCCTCTTAAAAGGAAGTTTTTCCTCGCCTCTGCCGCCTAGTGCTTGCTCTTGGTGGGAATTGTTGGGCTTCTGTAAATAACATCACAGAGTATGGTCTAGACCTTTTCTTATATGAAAATTGAATTGAACTTTATATACGCTAAGGCCAATGATGATCCAGAGAAAATTTGGTGGCAATCGGAGCTACGGTGTAGGAGGAGATGTAAAAAATGTGTTTTTCAAAAAATCTAAAATGGCAGACGTTTTTGGTAGGCAGATCTTAACGAACCCTGGGGGTATTTTGTAGCTTACATTGAGCTGGACTTGTGTGAGAAATTTCAAGTCAAGCAAGTTCCCAGCCCACTCGGGCTTGGACCCCTAATAATAAGACTAGTAACAATAATTGTAGCAGAGTGTGTTGAGCAGGAACATGGGGGCAGCAGGTGACTCGCTACCACAGATCCAGACTCCACAGCTCCAGAAACACCTGCAGAAAGTGATAGGAGGAGAGAGGAGAGGGACGAGAAAGCATAAGACTATGGGATCTTATGCAGTCAAACGTGCCTAAAGTTCTTAGGGAACATCAATGATAGTTAGATCCATGATATGTAGCTATGTACACCTGTTCTGGCATATTTGAAGACTTATCAATTCGGCTAATGTACCCCATCCCGGTTTCCCATCACTCTGTGTGGTGGGGGACCTGAGTGAGATTAGTAAAGAGTTTGACGAATCATACATGCTTCTGCACTGCCCTATGCATTACCAAGAACGATGGATCGATTCTTTCTCTAATAATCTTTTAGGCTTACTTATAATATACTTTTTTAGTACTTTTATTATTATTATTACTATTATTATTATTAATATTATTAATATATATAGTTTTAAATCCTTCAAATCATCATCTTTTTCTTTTTATTATTATACTTATACATAATAACATATGTAGGGTTTAGGTCAGAGATGTGAAGTTGTTTTATTGTTTTCCTTACTAGCTGTTCCTCTCCTTGCCTTGACTGGGACAAGTCAAGGCTGGGAGAGGATCTTTGTTCCCCAAAACATAGACACTTAGACTGTGTAAATGATTATGCATCCCTTTGCTCTGGGCCAGACATTAGTGACTGTCCTAGGTTTTTGTTTTTTGATTTTTGTTTTAGTACTTCAAAAGACAACGTTTTTTTTCTAACTCAATTATTTGCTCAGTCCCTCACCAGGAATATATTTTATAATTACCACGACAGTGAACACTTCTCCTTTGCCACGATAATTCATCCACCAGTGGAGCTTTTGTATGTGGTCATCGCTTGCATTTTCTCAAAAGCTGTGACATAGTCTGTCCTCTGTCTTTTCTTGCCCTGTGTAGGAGTGGGTGGTAACTTGGTGGCCATTCAAGCCAGTAGGATCTCAACCTACCTGCATTTCTTGAGCATCCCAGGGGTGCTACCCTACAAGATGAGGCAGCACTGGCCCTCTCCCTGCATCACATTCTACTCCTCAGGTAACACATGTAGTGAACAACGGTGTGGATTTGTGCATTTTACATTGAATAAATTTGGAGCTACCCTAAATTCCTTTCTCCTCCCCAGAGAAGAAGGGGAGGGGTCAGAGTTGCTTTCTCTAAGTGCTAGCCCGACCATAAAACTGGCACCATTTTGATTCCGAAGCTGATAACGCGGGGGCCTGACTGTTAAACTGACAAAGGGACACGAACCAGCCATTGGCATTTCCCTGAACAGCCTATCAAAATTGGCCCCCCACACACGTTTCCGTGGCAACTGACCTTATTCTTTGTTTTATTACCACATCAAAAAGGAAAACCCCTGTCTCACCCAGGTGTGACATGGTCCAGACACTGAACTTTGAATGGCCAAAGACTGCAGTCTCCAAAGTCTCAAAGCATTTAATTAAGTTTAATTAAATCTTTAGTTACCTGATTACGTTTGCCTGTATTTGAGTAGTTATGTTAACTGTTGTTGCTATCCGTTGTTATCAGTGCTGAAAAGAACTTGTGCAGTGTTTTTATTTTCAGCAAGACACTCCTTCATCTAATGTAATCCAAGCTTTCCTCATGTAACCTGAGCTCCCCCAAGTGGACGAAATAAGTATTACATGCCCTCGTTGGAAATGCCGTTAAATGTATAAATATCCTGACCAATAATGTGACAATTGTTTCCTGTTACCAAATGCCTAGAACAGTACAACCGTTCGACCATTGAGGTTCGATTGTGGAAAATATTTGATTATAATACGTGCAAATAGATTTCTTTTTAGACATTAAGTTTAGAAAGGCAGTCCCTTGGGAAACCTGAGATGCCCCCTGGGGAACCACGCCCCAGGCAACAAAAGAGCGACACGCAACCTCTCGCGCTTCTCTTCACTGTTGGCTCTCTTCCGCTCTGCTCGGCTCCCTGGACGCGATGCGTGCCGCGCCAGGCAACGCCCTCAGTCGGCCAGCGAAACAGGCCCTTTTGTTTCGCTTGAAGCTACACACATGAAGTGCCGAGACATCGATCTGCCCTTCAGTTTGTTTTTAATTTATTTATTTCTTTTGTTTGTTAAAGTTATCAGTCCGTTAAGTTACACTGGACTAATTCAGGAACGACCAAGTTCCATTTTAAGCCTTTTTCGTCGAGCCAACTTCACCGAGGTCAGACCAAGCCACGTGGTCTCGCCAGCTACAACGAAGGAAACCTGAAAACAGCCGAATTGCCAGACGGAGGAGGCGTTTTCAATCAGACACGGAGAACCCCGGAGAATCCCTAGCAAAAAGCCAGGATCGGACAGCTAGCGTGGGACCCGTGCAACAGGCCAAAAGCAGGCTGTCGACAAGCAGTAAGACTTAACACATGTTCTGTGATCAGATGTCCATTTTAACTCCTAAAATCATAGCATTAGTTTACTTTCATTAGCTCTTCTATGCCGTATGAGTCAAATGCTTCCCACAATCGAACCTCCAGGCTAATTGTTCAGCAAATGTTTATGTTCCCTGTATCCACCCATCTTTTTATTACCTTAGTTAGAGAATAAATTCACTGTAATATAATCAAGAGCTGTGTGTGTTGCCTATTTCTAGTTCCTGCCAAGAGAATTGACCCTTTAGATATGAGACTGACTTACTGATTTAAGATAATTGAGCGATTATTAACTAACTGATCACTAGTAATAATTGTATAATTATTAAAACTACCTAGAGGTCCGGAGATTATAACAACTCCGATGGTGCCCTGAAACGAGGAAAATTTTGATTTTATGAATATTAATTCATAATTGGGTATCAACTTCTCATAAATTTATTAAATTGCATGACTAAAATTTAGGTCTGCTACACACTGCTGTACTGAATGCATACCTTGACATGTTTCCATAAAATCTTGCGTATTTCACCAAAGCGCCTACAAATTCTAAAAGCCAACAAGCTGTGGCTTGAAAACCCACAGATAATTATCACCTGACTGCTGTCCCCTCAGCACAAACTATAAAGCTTTTTAGAGACTTTCAACATTGTTTTGGGTTTTACTGTTTTGAGTCCTTCTTAAGCAAGGATTATACTTTCCGCATCCTCGAGGCATGACGAAAAAAATCGTCATCAGAGGGTTTGTGCAGGCTGCCAACCGATCTACTGTGTGGAACGAGTCCGTCAAGTTGACTCCTGAAAGTTGTATAAACAGAAGTAGTCCCTGTCCGTGGGGTCCGCAGCTGTCCGTCTGCACATCCGCTCCAGAGTATATTCGAGGCTTTACCACTCTCATAAGGGTCATCTAGCTTATAAGCTTCCAGCAAACCCATTCTATACTACCTACTCAAACCGAAGATAGGCAGGTGGCGAGAAAGACAAAACAAAAAGTGCAATCAATACAAGATTAATGTAGGGGATAGAAGAAGAAGAGCACAGGAAGTGCTTGTTAGAGGTTAGGAGGTGTTATAGGAGGAAGTGTTCTCGGAAGAGATGAGTTTTCAAGAGCTTCTTGAAGTTAGAGAGGGATGCCCCTGCTCTGATGGCGTGTGGTAGCTTGTTCCACCATTGTGGTGTCACAGATGAGAATAGCCGGGACTGGGATTGCTTTCTGTGAAGGGATGGCAGAGCCAGGCGGCGTTCGTTGGAGGAGCATAGCGGGCGAGAAGGAACATAAGTTTGTATAATAGAGTTTAGGTAGATGGTGCAGACCCAGTAGTCACTCTGTATGCAAGCATTAGTGACTTGAATTTGATTCTGGAGGCCACGGGGAGCCAGTGGAGGCTGAGTAATGGAGTGACATGAGTCCTATTTGGGCTGATCAAAAACCAGACGCGCTGCTGCATTCTGAACCATTTGTAAGGGTTTCACCGCACAAGCTGGAAGACCTGCTAGGAGGGCATTGCAATAGTTCACGCGAGAGATAACCATGGCCTGTACCAGAAGCTGAGTGGCGTCCTGAGAGAGGTAGGGCCTGATTTTCCTTATGTATTACAGAGCAACGCGGCATGACCGAGAGACATCAGCAACATGGTCTGAAAAGGAGAGCTGGTCATCAATCATGACACCCAAGTTTCTCACCACCTTGGTTGGAGTGATGGTTGAGGAGTCAATTTGTAGTTTGATGTTATGGTGGATAGATTGCTTATATACATATAGATTAGCCTGTAATTTGTGCCTAGAGATTAGGAGCACCACCTAAAGATTTGCTTGTCCGCCCAAGGCTTTAGGTCCTTGAGTATAGCCTGAGAATTACACAAATTTCTGGTAATTCATTAGTTGTTACTGGTTCAGTTATTCTGAAATCGTAAACTCTAGTCAATCAGTCAATCTCAAATCTGAGGGTGAGTTCTATGTATAGGGACTCTAGATTCTTAATAACACACACACAACATCATCGTGCTCAAGGTGAATTTATTAACTAACAAAAGAGAGTACAATAGTGGGTAAATGTGGTAATATTGCAGGGACAACAGTCAATATGACAACCAGGAGGTAATGAACAGGGTAGCCTATGTAAAGCTCGATTGAATTTCAGTTTATATTGTAGAGGGAGAGAATTCTATGAGTATGAGGGAACGAATGACGAAATTAGGTTGCAGATTTAGTTTGACTAATCTAGGGGTTTATTAACTGTAGATGGAGCCAACTAGAGAACACCAAGTGTGGTTTGTTTTGCCCTACCGTTGCCGCAGGTCCCGTAGCAAGGCTTGACTGCCGGTTGGCTCGTGGAGTTGGTTCTGGCCCGACCCCAGTGGCATTTCCGAGTTCAGTTCGAAACCGGTGGATTTGGAGTCCTTTGTGGGAAGCGCTTGCAGCAACGGGCCATCAGCCCAGGCTTTTACTCTGATCTCAGTTCGTTTGGTGTCGCTATAGCGGAGCCCACTCAGGGTTCTGTCGTCAGAGCCATGGTTTCATTCATTCAAGGCCATAAATGAAGGCTTCTGAGTTTCTGGACCAAAGCTGCTTAAAACGATTGGACGAGGTTGCAACTACAAAATCAAATAAACTCACACATTCGCCCGTAGGTTCGCGAGGCCTCTGGAATATTGGCTATGTAATGTTGCTGAGATTAAACAGGTCTGGGGAAGGTTTCACCCAGGCAGCTCCCAAAACAAAAATCAAATCTCCCGCTAAGAAAACTGGAATTCAGGGTCGTAGCTTTCTCAGCTCGTCTGAAGGAAATTTAAGTACGAAACAAAAAAAATCGGAATTTCAAAAGTAAAGGAAGTTAAGAGAGCGTATACGTTTAGTTTCAAGAGAGTTTTAGAAGAGAAGAACAAGCTTTTTTTTTTAGAAGAGAAGGGAAGACAAAAGACAGCAAGGCCTTTTATTGACTTCATTAGGTAGTGGTGACGTCAATTTTGGAGTGGATTTCAGGGGAAGTCCCTAAGGTGTTAACTTTTGGGTTAAAGAAATATAGTTGCGCGTATTTCCCTTTAATCTCTCTCTCCACACATATCGACATTTGTAAAAATACTCAGTTCTAAACATTCGGATAAAGACAATTAAAACGAGGCTAAACACTATGGAAAAAGGTTATAATGGTTATATAAAACGTAACAAAGCTTAATTACCTGTCCTCAGTATACTTGCTGGTTACTGGTTTTATCAAGAGACAATTTAGATGTAAGCGTGGCAGCAAAATTTCGTTTATGCAATTACGTGGTGATAGGTAGACCTACTTAGCGATCCTTGTCGGTGTAAGCAGAGCTTTAAACACTTACGTGTTATACCTTTCCTGTCCCCTTGGTGGCGCTCGGGTCACACGAGAAAACAGTAGACATTCCACTTTAACTGAGAGGCTGGTGATACACACTAGCGTATCAATTGATAATTTTGTAGGAAATTGTTTATGAAACATTTAACTAAAGCATTAGTTAATACTGAAGCCGTTCTGTGGAGAGAAAAGAGTCATATTGAGGCCAGAGGTGACCTGCGGGAGGGAGAAAGGGTCAGATAGCCCCTTTTCCTGTCCTGTGGACTGTCTTTAGTGACACCTTTACGGCTAGAAAGGGTCACTAAGGCTCTTTGAATACACAATC